TGGATGGATGGGTGGATGGGTGAGTGGATGGGTGGATGGATGGGTGGGTGGATGGATGGGTGGGTGCATGGATGGGTGGATGGTTGGATGGATGGGTGAGTGGATGGGCGGATGGATGGGTGGATGGGTGGGTGGATGAATGGATAGATGGATGGATAGATGGATGGATGGATGGGTAGGTGAATGGAAGTGTGGGTTGATAAATGGATGGGTGGATGGATGGGTGGGTAGGTGCATGGATGGATGGATGGATGGATGGATGGATAATAAATAGATAGATAGATAGATAGACTCTTTCCTGGTGTGACCTATTTTCTCAGCGTCAGCTCCAGACATCCAGGCCATGTGTTTCCCCCAAGGCGCTATATCCTGTCCTGCGGCATGTGGAGCAACGACCCTGCTCTCCAGCTGCTGTGGTCCACCCCCAGTAAGACAACAAAGAGGTCCCCACACCCTCCAGAGTCTCTGAAGGGACGTAATCATCTAGTGCCGATGGTGGAGTCCTGTGAAGTAGACCTGCAGGAGCAACGCGATCTTGGATCACCCCTCGAGCTGTGTATTAATGACTGCGTACAAAGCCCTTGGTTTTCCCACATGCACCGTTGTGCATTCACAGTAAGTTGTGTAAGGGCACAGGCACCGTCAGCCGTGTCCTCTCCCGGGGCTGTGTTCCCAGACCCTGCCAGGAGCTCAAAAGCCCAGAAAGCACGAACCATCAAGGACTGTTTTTTCTACAGACACATGTGGTAGAATTTAACGTATAAATTGGGCGTGTCAAGAGATAAACAACAATAACTGATCACAATATGAAACGATTATAACAACAGACTGCAACAAAGATATATGGTTATTCTCTCTCTGTCTCTCTCTGTCTCTCTGTCTCTGTCTCTGTCTCTCTCTCTGTCTCTCTCTGTCTCTCTCTCTCTCTCTCTCTCTCTGTTTCTTTGTCTTTCTCTCCCTCTCTCAAAAATACCTTGTGAAACCACCTCTTCCATCCTCCTGTTGAACCAGGGGACTTTAAGCAGAGAAATCAAAGCTATAGATAAGTAGGGACTACTTTCTTCCATTTAAAAAATACTTCAAAAATAAACTATTTCCCAGTTTGCTCCTTGCTTTATTGTATGAACTCGTCACCAGAAGAAATTCAGTAAGTTGAATTTCTTTTTCTTCTCAGAAGGCTCCTTACGTATCTATATGATTCCTGAAAATGTCTAGACAGGGCTCCAAATCATCCCAAACTCTCACCCAGACAACCTGATCTTCCATAATCATGGGAAGGTTAGTATTGTACAACACAAAGGGAAATACTCACACATACATAACCATTTCTAATAAATCTACTCTTTCCAAAAACAAGCTTTCCTATCCGTTAGCACCTACACAGGTGAGAAACGTTTGAGCCACCCATCATTGGAATTTTTGCTAAGAAACACACTACCATCCTTTTTTTAGGAAGTTAAAATAAGTGCCTTGTGGAGAAAATTTAACATGAAAAATCTTGGCCCATGAGGCTTGTCAGCACAAGATAACACTCATGTTTGTGACCCAGAATATGACTTTCAAAGTTTCAGATCCTGGCGAACAGAAAATATTAATATTTATCCTTACTGTCAGAAAGAGAGACCACATTCACACACAATATCTTGTCACAATTACATTACTTGGCTGTTACTATTTTTATTCTGTTGGTGTGCCCAACTCAGATCTTAAATTTTATCACAGATGCGTATGGATAGCACAAAAAAAAATTATTTTTTTTTGTGGGGTTCTGTGTGATCTATAGTCTTAGATACCCACCGGGGGTCTCACATAGTGACCCCATGGAAAGAGGGGTGCACTTTACTACGATAATCAATGTGTAAAAGCGAAAGGGCAACAGCAATATTTGATATTCACTGATGGCTCACCATGACAGATTGCAACATGGCGTTTTCTGCAAGGGAGCGAGCCACCTTACCGCTCCGAGCAGTTATAACACGCAGGCTCTCAAGATGCAAAACTCAACACGAAGCCAACAGCCAGCCTTTGGATCGACACCTTCCTGCACACAAATTTCACATTTCTGCCAGCAAACCCTCCCCCATGTGTATGAGCCCCACTGTTCTACACGGTGCTCGCCCTGAGATCAGCATAAACATGCTTACAAAGGAAACGCACAAGGTCATAAAGTCCCAGAGATAGAGCGTGATGCCCGACTTCTGGAAAATTTAACTCTGACAGCGCCAAAATCCAGCCCCAGCAAAACAGCAATGCATGCGTAGAGCAAAAAGCAAAATGGAAGTGCATGTCTTGGTCACGCCATGCACACAAAGCTCAAGAGAAAGAGGAGGAGGACTAATTCTCAGCTTATTCGCTCAGAGCCCCCGGATGATCAGAACTAGCAAAGATGCCAGCTGCGCTAGTAACAGATGCAATGTGTTTTGCTCACCTGCCCGGAGCTGCCTTCCCGGCTCCCGCATTGGCGAAGTCTGATCTATCAGCTCCCCGTCCCTGCGATGGAGCTGCGCTGCTGTAGTCATTATTATAATTAAATGCTGGTAACACCGCTGTAGTCCGTCATCGCTGTTACAGATATTTAAACATCACCTACAACAACAGCTGTCACCTCTGTGGGGAATAAATCCTCATCTCAACTTTTCAACCCGAGTCCAACCTGCAGACAGACGAAGGCCATTTGCCAGGTGTGGTGGAGCACGCTTCTGATCCCAGCAGTGGGGAGGCTGAGGCAGGAGTATCCCTGTGAATTCCAGGCCAGCCCAGGTTATACAGTGAGTTCAAGACCAGCCTGAACTGCATAGCAGGACCCTGTCTCAAAAAGGTGAAAAAAAAAGAGAACTAAGGCCATTTAGTAAAACTGAATGTGATGTTCACGGAGGAATTAGAAAACAGAACAAGCATTAGACTTACAGGGATCAGGAAAAGAATTCTGAGGGAGAAACATTTTCAGCATTTCCTTTAGGACATCGGGCATCAGGGTGGAGCTTCCCGCGTCTGCTCTGAATTTTACCTGTTGGCATTGCATCTTAAAACGTCAGCACCACCCAAAAGAGTGAGGCCACCTTGAACTGCATTTTTAGGTGGAAACATGACAATTTTCATATACAACTGTAGAGATTCCTCAACAGCTACTGTCCATGAAGCACTTTCCTCATTTGCTGGAGTCTGGTATTAAAGTCTTATTATAGGTGGGATTAATTGGGAGCAGCAGGGAATGGTTGTGTAAGAGCAAGAAAAGAACATTTGTGTGTGTGCATGAGATTTCTGGTGAAATCCACTCCAGGAGGCTGAGGCAGGAGGATCTCAAGTTGGAGTCCTGCATGCGAAATTTAATAATTTAGTGAGACTCAAAGTTAAAAAAAATTTAAAAGGGCGGGGTATACAACTCAGACCAAGGCCCTGGGTTCAATCTACAATACATGAAAAAATTCACCTCTGCTAAATATATACTGACTTGCTTTATAACCATAATCCCCCAACCAAACACTATGATAACAATTCAGGTAGCATTTTTACGGTCTCAGGTATTCTAAGTTATTGTGAGATTTAAGGGTATGTTAGGGTGGCCACAGGTTATAGGCCAACACCTTGCTATTTTACATACAGTACTCGAGCATGCAGGGATTCTTGTACCCATGGGCATCGTGAGTCCAGTCCCCAGGGGATAAATAAGGCGGAGAACTGGACTTCAATATTTCTTTAAGACCACCAAACCAGGATGAGTTGAAACCTTTTCATTAAGCTGCTCTGCTCTTTATTTATAATTTGGGTTTCTCAGATAAGAGAAACCATGTGGTAATGAAGCTTGTGTGTCTGATATATTTCCATCAACATTATGGTCTCAAGGGGCATCTATTTTTCTACACATGACTCAAGTGTATCCATCTTCACGGCTGTATAGTACTCCATTGTGTATAAGTTCTGCATTTTGTGCATCCATCTGTCTGTTGGTCTGCTGCTTCCGAGACTGATCTATTGTGAGTTGTGCTGCTATAGACATGGGCTATGAAGCTGTACCTCTATCTACATCCACTTGACAATCAATTCTGTGAGCTTCGCATTGCGGAGTCTCTTGACTGAATTCTTCCATGAGGAGCACACGGCTGCACGTGACTATGTCTGCTGTGAGCGCATCCTGAACCTGACGTGTCCAGGAACATAGGTGTCTTCACTGCATCACAGCACCCAGCAAACGGCTCGGGGGGGAAACTGGGTCCGAATTACAAAGACCTCCTTCACTAGGGAATTATGGAAAGTCGCCTATGCAGAAGGTACACAGAGACTTACACGTGGCAAAAGTGAATAGAGTATGGTCTGTTTGGGGGGCCAGAAATGTGTCTTTCAAGGGGCTTAATGCACAAGAGAGAGAGACAGACAGACAGAGAGACAGAGACAGAGAGACACAGAGAGACAGACAGAGAGACAGCAAGACAGAGAGAGACAGAGACAGAGAGAGAGAGAGACAGAGACAGAGAGACAGAGAGAGACAGAGACAGAGAGAGATGGAGATAGAGACAGAGACAGAGAGACAGAGACAGAGAGAGACAGACAGACAGACAGACAGAGAGACAGAGACAGATACAGAGACTAAGGGAGACAGAGACACAGAGACACAGAGAGCAACAGAGATTTCTCTGCACCATTTCTCCCCGTGACCCATCCCTGCTGCCCCGCAGTGTGTCTGTGTGTCCGGGCCACCTTTTCCAGCTGTGTCCTGCACCCAGCACCCAGAAACACCAGCACCCCACCAGCCTGTAATGGGCACTGCCGCATGGACCATGTGCAGTGTGAACAGCTAGACACCTTTTCCTCTTACAGATAAGCAGCTCCTCCGCACTTCCTCCTGCGGAGCACACAGCCAGCACCCCTCCCCTCCTCAGCGCAGAGCAGAGACGGGATCCGCAGGCGATGGTCCCTTTGGTTCCGATGGTCCTGGGAGCCCTGGACCTAGCCTCCTTTCCATGAGAAAGAGCCGGGTGAGCTGAGGGTGCTGGGAGACGCAGAATCAGAACAAAGATCGGCACATGGGCCCCTCCGTCTCTGCCAACCTACTTTTGAATGAAGCCTTTTTCCTTTCTAGCAAAATAACTGGGCTCCTTTGAGGCTGCCCGTGGTCAACTCATGATCAGTGGTGAGCTCAGGAATCCGAGAGACCCTGAAGAATTTAATGAGAAAACCGAGCAACAGACAAGCTCAGTACTCTTTCTCAAGCCAGGTGGTTGGGAAGCGCTACAGCTGGGTAGAGGACCCCAGCTCTGCTACTATGATGGCGCCCTACCCCCTGCAGCCTCTGCTGTTGGTGGCCCCCCACATTTATACGGGTGAGTCATGGAGTGAATATTCCAGCTACCAAAGAGCTGCGTGATTGTTGGTAACTTAGAAGTTCAAAAAGGATCATGAATTAGATCTAAAGACCCACCAGTTACAAAATTGATAGGAAAAACACAATGCTCCTAACTTAAAGGAGGGAAGGTTCATTAGGCTCACGGTTGCAGGGGGTGCAGTCCATGGTCGGCTGCTCCAAGGCAGGAGCATCATGGCGGATGGGCGTGGGGGAGGAAGGACACTCACATCATGGCAGCAGGGAAGCAGAGAGAGAAGGGAGGAGCCGGGGATCAGAGCTCACCCTTCCAGGTCACGCCAAATGACCCGCATCCTCCAAGCAGGGTCTGCCTTCTAACACCACACGGAGCATAACACCCCAGGATCCAGTCACCTTCCACAACTGATTTGCGGGACATCTAGATATGACCATGACACCAATCAGTGTCTACTTACCAACCACCCATTTGTCTATCTATCTATCTATCTGTCTGTCTATCTGTCTGTCTATCCATCCATGTCATGTATTTTTATCATCTATGTATCATTCCTATTATTATCATCTAAATGTCTATACCCTTTATCTCTCATGTACATATATGTCTTGGTTACTTTTCTCTCATTGCTGGGACAAAATATCTGACTCCCAAAATTAAGGAAGGAAAGGTTTATTTCGCTTACAGTTTGTGGAGGTTTCAGTCCGTACTTGGCAAGTTATAAGGCAGAGTGGCACATGGCGGAGGGCTACAGCTCCTGGCGGCAGAACACAGCAAAGCAACAAGCACAAAAGGGAGGAATGGCCCCAAGCTACCTCTTCCTCTCCCTTACATATGCAAACTATCCACCCCAGGGCAGGTGCAGCTCTCACACCCATAATCAATCAAACTCTAAAAGCCTGCCCCATGGCTGCATGAGGCTTTGTGGGGACACCCAGACACAATCCATAACAATCTGTGTATGCTTCATTTATATACTATCCATTTATATCTATCACTATGCCTATCGTTTGTCTGTATCCATATGTATCCTTCTATTAGCTCTATCCATCCCTCACAATTATCTATTGATCCTATCACCTACCTATACATCTATCCATCTATTATGCATCTTCTAAATATATTTCTCACCTGTCTATACTTATCTATATATATCTTTATCATACATCTATCTACCTCCATTGCCTATCTACCTGTTATTGATCATCTTGGGGTCATGTCTCAATGTACCTTTCGCTCCTGTATTAACCCTCGTTTATCCATCATCCATCTATCAATCACCTACCATCATCTATAGTCTATCATCTATATCTCTGATCTGTCTCCCTATTATTTATTTATCATCATTCATCTGTAACATCTACTTAGTTATCATCTATTAATGATCTAATAATCACCTGATAATTGTCGTCCATGCCCCACCCATTTATTGATCGTCTATGGGTCGATCTATGTGTCCGTTCACCCAGCCATCCACCCATCCGTCTCCCTGGAGAGCAATGCCTGCTCTTGCACTCAGCCATGGTCCCTTGGATGTAACCACAAACACCACACCGATAAAAAGAAAGGAAATGCCCGACCTCATCACCGTGAAATTCCCCCATGCGTGGAAGGACATCACGAGACGACAGCATTCATCACGGACAAGACAGAGCCACGCCACACAGGCCAACTTCGCGCGTGAGTTCCACGCCTCCGCTAGGGCAGCTCTCCTTGGTCACCTCCTGGTGAGCGCCAGACCCTGAGGACGGCTGTGTCTCTCAGACGTCCTCCAGCTCTCCCAAACCCCGCCGCACCATTCCCAGTGTTGCCCTCGTGTCAGAGAACTGAGCTGCATCCCACATGCCCACCACGCACCTTCCCTCCCGGCTTCGCCCGCTGGGGCACGCCCCGGAGCGCCAATGACACGCGAAGCTGCACACCCCTCATTAACTTCAGAAGGCGCCGTCTTGGGTCCCCGCTGGCCCAGCACACAGGCGCCTTCCCTGGGAGATGAGACAGGACCACGACCTACTGCGTGGGAACTGCTCTCCCTGCACCATTTCAATTCGGTAAATAAGTTGTAAAGATAACCAGACCCGTGCATCTCCAATGCACCAGCTCAGGTAGCCTGTGGCTACTTCATCCTCTGCTTCTCGGCAGTAGCTGTGGAAGGTGACACGGAGCCCCCAGGCCACAAGAACGA